CCAATACGACGACAGACGATTTAATCTAATCTTTTCCATTAAAAGTGGCCGAATTAGCTGTCAGTGGCTCCTGTTTGTAGACAGATATCACTGGATTACTGCGAGAATGAAGAAAACTTAAAAACATTATAATTCTAAGGCAAGTTCTGCAGCTATAAGGACAACATTAGCCTAGCATGTAGCATATCTAAGTACAGGAAAGAGGAAGTTGACCGAAGCTTGCTCAACTGTGATTGGAGCACAGAGCAAAAGGGGGCGGGGCTTATGAAGGCCAGAGTTCAGGTCTTCTGTAGCAGGTTGCCGGCGACGAGGTCTTCAGGGTTATAGTGAGTCTTTGTCTTTTTTTTTTTTCGTTGTACAAACACAAACAATGCGTGAAATCAGGAACCTGGAAACATAAAGGAGGGAGACGCTTACCTTGTGTCACACCCTGAATGAGAGCTGATGGTGTGGTGTGTGTGTGTGTTGTGTCTGATGTAGTTGTGTGTGTGTGTGAAAGGTGGAGGATACATTGATTTGGGACGGTCGCCCAGGTAAGCAGGGACATCTTGCTAGCATCACACCAGCCAACGCTGAACTCTGTGCTGGATTTGCTGCACAACACATCGCAGCCTCTGCATACCATGCTCATGTAATCATTGTGGTGTCTTTGGTGGCTGTTCATGTTTCAGAATGATATTGTTTTATTTTTTATTTTCACCGCCTCCAGGAATAAAGTTAATTGCTTTTGTATGAAAAATTAAGTTGCCTTACGTGTCAAAAGAAATGTTTCTAGTTATTAAATGTGATAATGAACGATTTATTTACAGGTGTCCCAGCTTTGTTTGTATAACGACGTTTCATACAAATCAAAGTTTTCCATAGAGTAAGTTGAAAAAAACGCAGGAAATGTTAAATATCTACAATTAAATAAAAAGTTGTAAAAATAAAGATGTACAGAAGGTCTTTAAGGTTTTATTATGGGATATTAAACATTATGATTCCCTATATAAAAAGATAAAGAGTCACATGTGTCTCTCTCCTCTGCCTGTGGTTGTATCGCAGCCTCTCTGTGGTTTGTTCATACCGGTCTGCTCACTGAAGACGCTGTTTTTATTCATCATACGTCCGGTGAATTATAGGATGTATTTCCACCAAACCCAGAGTTGGTGATTGTTGGAAACACTAACAGAGACGGTTTTAATGAGTTTTATTCTGTTTCTGTCCACTTTGAATGAAGTTACGATGATCTGAAGGTAAAATGAGTGTTTTTGTCTCTGGAGTCTGGTGGAGAGTGATAGGGATATTATCGCTGTTTGTGGATTATGTTGCTGATCAGTATTGTTTCGACCTGACTGCATTATTTAATGTTTGTTGTCAGTTATATTCCTCACGTTACTAGGTTAATATCTAGGTGTTTTACGGACCCAAATAACTAACTTTATTTAGGAGGAACAATCACAAAGTGCTTCACAAAAGAAATAAACTGACATTAATACAGACTTAAGGAAGAATAAAACACATTTCCTTCTTTCCTAATTAACTTCCATACTTATGTCCACTTTTAAATTTATTGTCTGGTGCTACTTTCCAATAAATCACTGTTTATAAGTGGTTTATTAATGGTTATCAAGAGCTTTATAGATCAGTCTTACATACAGATGCAGTCGTCTCTAAATGGCTGGTACTGTAATGTAAAAAACGTTGGCTGGTGTTGGTGGAGTTCATCAGGAACAACCCACCAATGGATCATCAGTTACAACTCAACCTACAAACGATTATAATGATTTGCTAACAGTAATAACTGAATTATTACAAAAGGTTTTTATAACTGATCTATAAAGAATTGGTGAACTATTTATTAAACATTAATAAAAATCTGTGCGTTTCTTTCCAATCTGTTTTCTTTTGTCTAAATTCTCCTTTAATTTAAACAACGTCCTGTGTGAGAAATTACTCCTTTTTTAAAATTCTTACTTCCTTCCTTCCTTCCTTCCTTCTCTGCAGACGTTATATATTTTGCTCAGGGAGGCTGCAGGCGGTGGAGCAGCAGCAGCAGTCGTCTGGTCGCTGGCTGCCAAAAATGGAATTAAGTCAGTTGCCAGGCTGGATAAGGAATTGGATTCTCTTCCTCTTCTGTTATCCCTCTGGACCAGATCCTGTTTCCCCCGCGAGGGGTGTGGGGGTTAGTGGTGATGGAGTGAGGGGAGGGGGGGCGGCGGCGGGGTTATATCTCTGCCAGGTCGCTGTCACCGGAGCACCTCAGTGGGCCCACATCAGGCCACACCTGTCCCCCCCCCATCCACCCATCCACCCCTCAAAACCAGGCTGTCTGAGCAGCAGCTGCAGCCGGCCGGGGGTCCGAGGCTCCGGAGCGGCCGAGGTCTTCTCCACGCCACGCCGGCTTATTTATCTTCACAGGATGCAACACCTGGCCGGGCCTCCGCCCAGCTGGACGACATCGCCGCTAACTGGTATCAATAGAGGACTTGGGGTTTCATCACAGATCTCCTAGCAACCGCGGCTGGCGCCATCATGGAGGAACTCGCTGTGTGGAAATAATATCAGTGTGCATGGCATCCTGGGTAAAGGGAATCATAGATAGTGCTACATTACTGTCGTGTTGTTCAGTAGCTGTTGATGGTCTGAGTTAGAGGCTGTTTGCTTCCTACATGTTTATCCTCAATAATCACTTGACTGACTGAAGCCAATGCTGCTAACCAGTGCAGCATGTAGATTTGTTTTAAGATGTCCTTATAGAAACTAAACGCTAAACTGTTTAACACCAAAATCAAGAAGACGTGTTCATTGATTGCAATTTACCGTCTCGAGTCACTAGAGGCTTCAAAGGGAACCAATCTTTGGTTTGTCTTCCACCAACAGGGAACCAGCTAAGTTCTGGTTTTCACATGTTTTGACCCACTCTGAGCATTTCGAACCAAAGATGAATAGGTTTGGAAAGCGACAAGTTGCCGGTTTTGCTTGGGAACCAAAGTAGGAGTGTCATATTCTACAAGATTGTGCAACGCCCTCTGTTGGTGAAGGGTCCTTGATTACAGGTTTGTTAGATGGCACCAAGAACCAGAGCTAATTTAATGGAAGAACACTTCAGTCAGGTGCTGGATCGGGCTGCTTCCCCTTCGGTCCAGTCCAAAATATCTCAACAACTGCTGGAGGGATTACCAGGTGATTGTGCCAGATGGTCGTTGTTGGAAACTGTTTGGGAAATACTCTGCAGGTGATTGGATGAAACATCTTTCAGTTTCTATATTGGGCAAACTTCAACCAATCAGATCAACAAACTGTATGATGTATGAGTCAAACTCTTACTGAAGTCAGTCGGGAGAAGAGAGAACGCATCTTTTCCTTCAAGAAAATCGTTCTTTGCTCTTCTTCGAGGAAGAAATACTCTCCAGTTCTGATGTAACTGATGCTAGCAGCATCTACGCTAACCCCTTTAGCGACCGCTATTGTTGCCAACAGTCACTTCTCAGACCTTTAGTGTTAAACGAAGCTCATACTGTAGCTGACAGGAGTTACTCAAAGGATGCTGATTGGTCCGAACCACTGTGGTTGGACACAAGCTCACAGGTTGGGCCTGGTGAGATGGATTCTCACATTATTTCGTGATATTGTGAGTCCAGCTGCCTAGAAAGGTTATACGTTATATGTTGAATCCTCCTGACTTTGACTTTTCCTGAAGCACCAACAGCCAGTTTTACTTGTGAAAGATCTCAACATCTACTGGACAGATTGACACCAAATTTGGTTTGGACATGGTTCTCAGAAGATGTAGCCTCAAGACTTTGGTGATCCTCTTAACCTTTCTTCTAGCTCAGGATAAAGTTGGTGATCCTCTGACTTTTCATCCAGCACCATCATCAGTTTCTACATGTAAAACTGAAGACATCACCATCAGCCTCAGCTCCACTTTGTGTTTAGTGCTAATAAGCAAAAAAATATATTTGTTTTTGTTGATGTGTTGACGTGGCAGGAAGGACAGTGTTGAGCTAGTTACTCTACTACGACAACTAAGATTTCATTTTTACTCACTACTCTTCTCAAAAGTAGTTTACATCAGTAATTAGTTACACTTCTAGTTATATTACTTTTCTCCCCAAATACAAACATAACGACGAAACTAGTTTTCTCTACGATTACAAAAATGAATCAAAGGATGTGATTGAATTTGTTGGATTTCGGAAATTGTAACTAATTATTTTTTGGGGGGGGTAACTGTATATTAGTGAAATGTATTAGTAATTAGTTACACTACTAGTTACTGTAATACTATTACTAATAATGAGTTACTTCCCAACACTGTTAATGGTTTTGCATATAATAATTTCGCTCTCTTACATTGAAACTTACATTTCATGCTGGTTCACTTATTTCACAAATGTTTAAATTTTGAATTTAAACAGTTTGACTTGAATCTACTGAAATTTGTTTCAGCTTGTTTTAATGTATTATGTGTACTTATAGACAAATATACTTATATATTTTCATTCTGTTTAACTGCTGAAAACTAAATAAATCTAACAAACAAATCTAGCTAACAAATTGATACTAACTGAACACAAAATCAATCAGATTGATCATCTGTTCACAACTTTGTCTATTGATATCTGTTAAACATTTATAACAAGTCTATGTACTGTTATACCAACAGCTCAGGTCCTCCATACAGCCGCCAGTACAGCGACTTTAAATACCGTTAAACATTTAAAGATTTGCAGAAATCAGATGACTCTTTTGGGGGAGAATCAATGATTGTAATTTTTAATTTTCCGTCCCTGTGCGTCTCTCAGCTCTTTTGGTAAAAGTATTAAACACAGCTGCACGAGTCCCTTTAGAGGAGGGGGGGTTGTGAAACAGACCATCGGACCTCAAAATACAT